ATGTTTTTTTTAGGATGACTTTAGAAGCTAATTCTAATGAGCAACATTAATGGGCCAATGAGCAACAATGCATCAGAGAACTGTTGAGCAGAACAACTACTGTCAGAGTTTACCAAGCAGATGAGAATAAGTGAGGATGTGACAACTTTCCTTTTAGTTTTTTTTTTCTTTTTTTTTTCTTTTTTCTTTTTTTGCAAATGGATTTTGGCAGGGATATGACTAGAGGACATGACTAAAATATTCATGAATAGCCCATAAAAACAGCAGAACAGCCAAGGCTGAGCTTCCTTACAACATGAATAAAGGCCTTTAAAAAAAAAAGGCTTGCATTATGTATTTATTATTGGATTTATTACTCATATTTCTATGCTGCTCGATTCCAACCAGCATTGACAGTGAACAGCATAAAAAAGGATGTAAAATATCAAAAAAAGACCATAGAATAAGGACAGTTATTATTATCTCCAGAGGCGAGCCCCAAATTTAAGATCCTCCAAATTTAAAATACTTCATCCAGGTGCATCCAGTAATGTCTGTTTATCTCTAGACCAACCCAATAAAGCAATATGGTGAATGTCTACTTATAGGGAAATGTTTGTTTTCCATACTACTCTCTGAGCATGGCTTTGCCATACAGAGTGACTCACGTTGCAGCTCCAATACCAGCACAGAGGCAGTCCCAGATTTAATTTAAAGTGAAATGAGACTGACAGCAAGCTAAATAAAGCATTGTCTGAGAAGAGTCCCTAGAAGTGAGCTTCTGCAGCTGAGAAAACAGAATCCTGGTCTAAGCTGGCTTAGGACTAAAGTGCAGCCTGAATCTGAAAGTTAGAACAGGTTCAACTGTTATACTCAGGTCTTTTGTGGGCAACAGGATATGGAGAGAATGCCATTCTAAGAATGGTTCAATAGAAAAGCTCTAAATGGATCAATCATTTTGCTTCATCAGGCAGTAAAACCAATAAGTTAAACATTATTCCCAAAAGATCTTCATAAACTTAGTTTATTGAGCCAGTGAGAACAGACTAAAGTAATAAACAAACAAAAAACAAGGAGGGGGGAAGGAAGAAGAGAAAGAGATAAATGCATTGACTTTAGATGCAATGAGAATTTGAGAACTGGAGATGAATATTTGACCTCTGTGCCTTTCAATATACTAAAAAGATCCTATTTCCCCTGCACCAATTATTAGTGAGATTCAAAACTTCAGCGAGTGGCACAGAACTGATATTTATTAACTTCAGCCCAAAAAAACCTTCCTTTATGATGCATAAATTGTCACTAACAAAAAATGTTTCTGAAAATATATAATTTCTATACCAAAAATTTAGACCATTAAAAAATAGATTGTAAACCACAATGTTATAATAGAAACACGTTAGAATTTCAAGTTATTCTGATTTTTCCTTTCTGAAACTTTTCCCTTTAATTAATTGAACAATATTTATTTGGGGGTTTGGCTGTAAATAAAAAGTGCTGTTATTGTTATTATACATCATCAGTACACCTGTCTACACCTGTTTTCTCAAAAGCAGGCTCATATTAATAAAAACACAATTGATGAAAAAGTAATTTACATGGAATTGCCAGAGGTATTTTCCTAATAGTAATTCATGCAAACAAATGATGAACTCTCTGCCAAATGAATGCAATATTTTCTAGACCGTTATGCTACAAACCCAAGGAGCAGGGAAACAAAAAGTGTAGTTTGGGGGTTACATGCCACTCAGTATTCTCAGAACATCTCCAGAGTGGGTGAAGCCCTTTCCCCCTCATTTTGGGGGTTTTAGTGGATTTGCAGATGCTTAAGATAACCATTTCACAGCTTAAACTTCTAAAAACTCTTTTCAAACAAGGCCCTGGGCTCAGTGCTTTTAGAATACAGTCCTGAACATACTGCATAAACTGTGGTGTGGTCCTCAATATCCTGAGATGAAGGACAGGGTTCCTTTTCGGAATCTGTCAAGACATAAGCCTCTTGACCCATCTCCCTGTGTCCTTTTAATACAGTAAAATATTGTACAGGGAGTACAAACTGAATATAGCCTAGATAATAAATCTGTGCCTGCACTCTATCTTTTCAGGCTGCAAAACCATCCCCATGCTTTAAAAAAAAAAAAAATGGGGAACAGCATTCAATCATGCAAACTTTCCTTTACAATCTGTTGCAATCAACTGATGATAAGTACTGTTTATGCAATAATTGGAATGCATGCATGCACAGCCCAAGCCTGATGCAAACTACTTTCATTCTCTAGATAATACTTAATAGTTTTCCTGAAAGTCCATTCCTGTATTAGTAGTGTAATTCAACCCACATGAATGAATATGAAATAAGGAAAGCAAATTTAAAAGCTTCTAAATGATATCACAACCTGCCTGCTTATTTAAACAACTTTGAACTCCTTTGTCACCTGCTGAGGAAGATGTTACCCTAGACCAGGACTTCTCAACCAGGCTTCCGTGGAACCTTAGGGTTCCATGAGCAGTTACTAGGGGTTCCCTGGGAGATCATGATTTATTTTAAAAATTATTTCAAATTCGGGCAACGCACTCTC